TGGTTAAGCATATTTTTAAGCTCAAAAATCACTGAAAACTGTAGTCTTCCATCATGTTTTAACTACAAACTCATTTCTTTCTAAATCAAAGCTTAATTGATAGTCCTCGCTGCGACCTCTGTAACTCTGGAAGGGAAACTATTGTACATTTAATTTTGAAATGTTGTAAAAAGTCTAGATATGTTGTCGGATGCTTTTATTAATACCTTTTACATCATAATAAACAAACTTTTTTTTTTATCAGTCTGTAATAACAGCATTACAATGTATTACATTTAAATCATTTATCAATTACACTGCATATTAATTCATTTATTTATTCAATGGATTTTATGTCATCTGTTACATCCTTTTGGCCTTTCAGCAGACGAGATAAAGTTGAAAGTCAGGTTTTACTGCACACCGTATAAATTCAGGGTCTGTAAAAGTCACTAAAATTTGTCAATAATCTTGATTTTCCATCCATGGTCATTATAAAGCCGAAACTTATAATAGAGATAATCTTATGTATGCATGGAAAATATTGTAAAAAATATGAAAATTATAAATTACAGAATAATATGTACGATGTATATAAATAGTAATATTTATTATCTAGAGTATGCAATGATAAATATGGCATACCTCGTACAATTGGAATCGTTTCCATACATAAACTACACAATTTTGTGTATATAACAGCTATTTCCCACTTCCTTATTCTTAGCTTACCTCCTCCAAATTCCTTTCTTATTGTCCACTCAGTACTGGAGCTGCATATCTCTCTCTCATGCAAAATATAAAACAAATTAAAGAATGCTTCCGTGAAACCAAGAATAAACAGTTCAAATGTGCATCTTGCTGGTCAACTAAAGCAATGCTTGTTTGATGTTAATGCATTTCATGTAGTCCTTGTAAATCACTTGTGTACATGTTATGTTACCTGTAAACATGTTATATTACCTGTGTACATGTTATATTACCTGTGTACATGTTATATTACCTGTGTACATGTTATATTACCTGTGTACATGTTATATTACCTGTGTACATGTTAAATCACCTGTGTACATGTTATATTACCTGTGTACATGTTATATTACCTGTGTACATGATATATTACCTGTGTACTTGTTATATTACCTTACATTACCTGTAAACATGTTATATTACCTGTAAACATGTTATATCACCTGTGTACATGTTATATCACCTGTGTACATGTTACGTTACCTGTGTACATGTTACGTTACCTGTGTACATGTTACGTTACCTGTAAACATGTTACATGATCTGTGTACATGTTATATTACCTGTAAACATGTTATATTACCTGTGTACATGTTACGTTACCTGTGTACATGTTACGTTACCTGTAAACATGTTATATTACCTGTGTACAAGTTACATGTATCTTACCTAACTTATGTATGTGATTGTTACCTATTAAATTGTGTTTATTGTGATAGAAGTAACACTTGTGAGAACTGTTTTGTTTCAATATGCTTATCTCCATATCATATTGGATGTAACTGAGTTTAACAGATGAACAATGTACAAATTTTACTGGCCATTACGTAGATCAATATTGATTTTAATAATTGTAACTATACTGTTTTGCTTTGTGATATTGATGTGACACAATGTGATTGTATCAGTAACCTTAGATTTTGTGTAGAACTATTCACTGTACGTATTAATTATAATTAATTATATACAAGCTTATCCGATATTACAAATGAAAATTTTCTTTTTATCAATTTGATATTTATTTAAGACATTTTTTTTTTAATTTTGTTACACCTAATACAACTGGGAGAACTGTTTGGGCAAGCAATTGATTGAAGAAAATTTTCATTATCTATTTCACTTTCATAACTATATCTTGTACATTCAGATAAAGTAATTAACTCATGTGTCATTTTAATGATCACTGTTTTGATCCTAAGTATGCACGATCAAAAAGTCTTGTATCCTAACTTATTTAGTGTTCAAGTGTGTGTTATTTTTTTTTTGTTTTTATGTACTTTGAATCATAGAGAGTTCATTTAGAAAGAGTTTCAACACCTCACAAACATTTTATTTATTGTCAGTATGTTGACAAATAAACAACACAATGGTGGAAGGGTGTTGGAAATCCTTTATGATTTTACATTATCATTGATGGATCTCGAGGGAATCCCTTGTGGACCTCTGAACACACTTCCATTATATAAGGAGTGTTGAGTGTCTGGGTAAAATATTGAGGTAACCCACCAGTGTACAGAATCTGTTATCACATCTCTGCAGTACTAAGAGTCTCAGTTTTACAGTACTAGGCTGTTGGTGTATAACATCTTTTGGACCAGGGTTTTAAATTTATGAAACAAGGATCGACCAACTAATCTTAATGTGCTTTCTGATGATTTTTGACATCGCCTTTCATGACTTGTTTATTTGCTTGTCAATCCTAATTTATGCTGCAAGAATTGAATCATCTAAGAGCAGATGAACCAATTTGTCAGCAGAAATGAATAGTTCACTGTAAATCACAAAACAAGTCTATTCTGCTATGTTACACATTAGTATGATAACAATGCTATGGCACTCATGATTTCTTAATAGTATGAATTATCTTTGTGATGATTCGTTGAATTTTTAAGATGTGATGAAGAGAATCTTATACTTTAGTCCATGCTATTATTATATGCGACATATTAATTTGTCCAGTAAATTTATATATTTCTCTCACCAGTATGTCCGTTTCATTTCAAATTTATTGATGTTTAATAATTAAAGGCAAATGTCACATATCATTGTTAGATATACTGCAAAATCATTCTTTTTTGTGGGGGATGTATTTTCATTAATTTCGTTGGCACTCTTAATCCAGGAATTCATGTCTCTACAAACTGTTTTGAAGCAGATTTATTTATTCCATTATTTATTCACAAAGTCAAGTGTTCAGGAAGAAATAAATTTTTGAGAAATAAATTTTTGAGAACCCTCAAAAATAGAGCCCCACAAAATTGCATGATTTTACAGTATTCCATGTGGTATTCTGTTTTTAATTTCTTGGTGTAAATTGGAAATGAAATAAGATATATAAGTATAACTGGGAATATGAATATAAGATCGTATTAGTAGATTATATCATGTAGGATGTGAAAACTTCTAGTCCTGTAATTGTCCGTCTCAGATCTGTTGACCGAAAAATGGATCAAGGGACAATATATTGGAGTTTTCTTGTGAAATTCATTGTTTGTTTTGTTTTTCTTAAGAGAATGTCATTTATAGTTATTTATATAAAGAAATTTTAATAAAGAAATGTCTATGTGTATAGTATGTGGTGTTGTATATTTAGGCTGAATATTTCAGTGACTATGTATATATCAAACCCACTCTCATGCTGGAATTACAAAATTAATTTAACCCATGATCCTTCAATCTGTCTGTAGACAGTTAGAATCACATTTTATCCATGGCCCATCAGGTGTTTGTAGACCTTTAATATCAACCTTTTTTTGTCCTTGGTCCGTCCGTCCGTCTGTCTGTCTGTCTCTTGACCTTTAGAATCACTTTTTTGTTGGTCTATCATCCGTCTGTCTCCAGACCTGTAATATCACTTTTGTCCATGATCCGTCTCTCTCTGTGGACCGTAATAATCCATTTCAGATTTATTGAACATGTTTTTATTTGTCCGAAGTTTTGCTTGGTCAGTTTTGAGATTGATCGGCAAAACCTAGCTGTCCTGCAGTCATGGGATCTTGACAGTAGAAGTGTTCCCTAAGTAAGCCTGATCAGTTTTTGGACGGATAAAAAAAAAATAGCCTGGAAAGGTGGCCATCTAGTATTTTGACAGTTTGAGAAGTTGACATTTGAAAGAGATAACTCGCCTTGCACTATTCTTTGTTCAGTAAAAGACGAGCGACATCCACAGTATTGGGATTTATTGTGAGGGAATTTTTGGATCATTCTCAGATTTGATATACAGGTTTATAAATATAAACAAGTTTTAAGTGTAAATTAATCACTCTTGTTGGTTCAGATGGAAGCGTGCAAGGGATTATACTGTATAAAGAAACAGGAGTACCTGGGGTATACTTTTCACACCCTTGCTGGGAATCGAACCTCGGACGCCTAGGTAGGTGAAAGACGAGTGTTACCACTGCGCCACCCCACACCCTATGCAGGGTTGCATTGGTTGTCAGCAATGTATAAGACGAATAGGAAATATTCTACTGATAAAAAACGACAGATAAAGATCTAATACAGATGATGGTCACCTGGATCCATTTTGGATTAAGGATTTCTTGTTAAAAAATTATTGGATAGATCTCTAGATTGCCATTTGTGTATGTTGTGCTTGTTCATATTTTGAACTGATTGGAAACACAAACACAGTACTAGTCTTTTATTGTGGGTCAGTACTTGACAGTGACGAGGAAGGTCATGTGACCACGTAAAAAAAAATCATTACAACACTGAAGTGTGCATGAATTAGCACATGCCTTACATTGTACTGTTCAAGGTCTAAAACTGCACATCCTAATTGATTTACAAACCCTAAAGTACAAGGTATACCAATTTTTTTATACGCTGACAACAATACACGAGATGAAACATATATGGACGTGTGACAAGAGATGGTCGGGTGGTGCAGTGGTAACGCACTCGCCTTTCACCTAGCCGTCCAGGGTTTGATTCCCGGAATGGATGTGAAAAGGTATGGGGTCACCTGCCCGACCACGTGATCGCTCAAAAGAATTGATGTATGCAGCGTGGTAAAAGAATGTTTTTAGCTCTCTAAATTATATGTATTGTAATCTTCATCATTATTTATTTGTTCATTTTTGCGAAAGAAGATTTCATATTTACAAAATCTACATTTCCCACGCCTCATCATCATCATTATAGCAACAGCAGCATCTACACTATGGTGGAACTTCACCGAGACAATTACGGTAATAAAGCGTATAACTGATACTGATCCGCTGTTTTGGTCAAACGCCTCATCGATTATGATTATGATCCCGCCATTGACGAAGTTCTTAGCAAAATCCGTCAAATCTGCGGAAAGGAACCAGACGGAAGCTTTTAGTTAGAGGTTGGATTTGGTGGTATGTCGAGTTGAAAGTTGTTCAAATAATGTTTGTGACTACGTTTCTTCACCAGATAATGAAATGGTTGTGTATTATGGACAAAAACGGCGATTGAATTACAGAATCGTAGTCTACATGATTGCATTATCCTTACGACCGGTACTTGAGCACCGGCGAAATCTGGCTATATAGTCAAATTTGTTTGTCCCTAAATAAAGCAAATGTAAATAACTAAGCCATACGTGGTCGTGATCATGGCTCACATCGAAAAAAAGGACGACGAAGCTAGCTAGTTGGTGAAACGAATCCTTTTTTTTGGTATGAATTTGGATGAATTTCGTCGTTGCAATTTTTGATACGTGCATCCCCTATCCACATGTTCCAATGCTGAAACATGAAAAATCATTATTAAAACACCTGGTATTTTACTTGCTTTAAACATCATGCTGAAAGCGCACCTGTGGATCAAATTGGCACCAAAAGAATGCTTATCTGCAGACTACACAAGGAGTGAATGACGCCATATTGGATAGACTCGCTATAGAGTTTGTTACTATATAACTAGAGTATGTGGATACTGAAAATATAAACAATGACATTCCAAACAAAAATTGCCTGAAATTCAGCAAATATTCCAAAAACATTCATTTCACTTACTCACATCATTTTTTCATCCTTTTCATCTATTGGCACGAAAGAAACAATACCAGGCCTCACCTTTGTTTATCTTTGCCCTTTATATCTATAGTCAGATTTGTCAGTGCCAGTACCACAATGTTACAATGTCTTTCAAAAGTCTGTCACCATTGTGTAGGCTAGAATAGGGCCTAACAAGTTAAGTATAGAATCTTCACACATTTTTATCTTAGCAAGAATCTCCTCCACGAGTGAAGCAATATCAATGGTTTCAAAGTGGTAAAAACATGTCTCTTCCAATCTGATTGTGTGAATAATCAAAACGCTACTTTCCCAAAAACACAGAGAAAAGTCTCAGGTTTTGCTCTGGTTCTTTTCTCCAAATTACCAGGTTCCTGATGTAGTTCACTAATGGGTTTGAATGTCCTCAAGTGTGACCTGACTGTGATCTCTTTGACTATGAAAGCTGCTTATTATGTTCAAGTCCTATCAGTATATGCTGATCACAAAACTTCGTGTGACAATTGACATATATGTAGGGAATATCCATAAAGTTTATGAAAAATCCATTTTCTCCACTATCAGCATTTTTTTTATCTCGACATCAATTTTGTATAAGCTGTAAATAACTTTGTAGCAATCTTTTCCCCAACATTTCAGACTGGATTGCAAATGTTCTAGACTACTGACTTCTGTATATACAAGTTCATGATATACAAGCCTTAGGAAGATAGCACAGCTACCTTAATGAAGTTGAATAATGAGTTTTTTTTCCTGACAGGTCCCTTCAAACCAAACAGTTTGTAATTGCCATGCATGACAATCTGTCTGAGCTTTCTTAACTTTTGTTACACTGCCATCCTGAATAATTTGTAGTTTATTCATATCATCTGTAACATACCTTCCAGTGATTTTTGATATATTTGAGTCCTTTTCTCGTGGGACTCACTCTAATTTTGAGAAGTTACTAACTTTCATACGGGATTCATCAAAATTTTGGAATTGCTATTCTTGACTCCCATGAAAAATCCTTCAAAAGTGCCTGGTAGCATTATGAAGTCAGCTTCAGTTCTGTACTGTAACCAGGAGACACATACAAATATATTGTAGTCCCCAAATGCGTGCACACTCAGCACAAGATTCACTCAGCATACATAGAAAGGTAGCTGTTAAATTACCATAGCTTTTTGGGATGTTTAACAGTTTAGCCAAAAGCCAAAAAAAAACAATTCTTGCTGGGAGCTTTAAAAACACTTTAAACTTCTGTTAGATCCAAAGAGCAATAACTAAGTTTTTAACCTACAAATCTTCACTGTGTTTACATTATTGTGGTAGATTCAATCAAGATTTCAATCTAGCAAGAATGACTAGGAATCTGTTTGAAGAGAATGATATTCAAATTTTCAAACTTATCCTTTTACAGTAGGCTCTGTTGTCTAAATCATTGTTATTTATTTGCAGGACAACCGTGCAGATGCCCCCAAAAGTGAAAACAAACAAACGAGCAAGGTCAGATTTAAAGATAGCAAAGACAGACTGGACACTGCCTTGTGAATGGGGTGACTGTCATGACATCTTCACAGAAATGGAGCTGTTTCTTCGGCACATGTCAAATCATCTGTGTAAAACAAAGGCAATAACAGGTAATTAAAGCTGATATTCAGCTGTGTAAAAAATGTGATCTGTCACAGGTTGATAACACAATTTACATTCACTTGCCTTTGCAAAAGTTTCCTGAATGCCGGTTTCCTTAGTCTCTGACACTAATTTGATCTTTTTAGGGGGAAAAGAATTGCTGGTGAGAAAAATTAATGGATATGTGATGGCCATAGAATCATTTCATTTTTGTCTCATATGTGAAAAAAGTTGAGGAAGCAAGATTATAGTGTCAACTCTTGCAGTGATGTTGTCATCAACTTTTAACTTTTAAAGTTTTTCATTTAGGTCTATTACTCAAAAAAGCATAAGTCCAAATCTAAACGCACTTTTTGTTCTATGGCTAGGTCACATAGTGGACACCTCCACTGTTTATAAATTTCTTCCAGATTTTATGGTCCAGCAATTCTGAGATTTAAGGATGGTGAAAGCCTGGACTTTGAAAGTTTTGCATTTAGGTAAATTTCTCTAAAATATAAATTCTACTATCAAATTGATTAGTTAATAACTTGTTTCGCAATTGTTGTAAAATAAATAAAGTTTATATTTTATATAAATCAGACTTGTATTAAAGTGAATAGTTTGTATTGTGGACATTTGAATCCACCAAAAAGATTTATGAATTTTATGTGTTTGGTGTATTTTTGTGACAAAAACTTCAATTTTGAGAAGTGACTACAGTGTCTTTATGTCTTCTTCTGTCCACATCATATGTAGTGTATAGTCTTGTTGAATCAAGTACTAAAATATCCGATATGTTTTCCTCTCCCTCCTCATGAAGAGTGATATTTTTGAGGAAAAAGAGTCTGACTTTAGTGAATTTCAAGACTTGAAGAATTTACTAAATTTTCACTACATGTTCTAAAATATATATTTTAACATAACAACAACATATCTATGGTGTTTAGATATCATTAATAAAGATTAACTTGGAAATCTGGTATTTTGGAGGAGGAGGCATAGATCTGAGTGTATTTTGCATTTTAATTAAAAATGACTGTACTAATTTTAAAAAGTGTGGCACTTGATACATACCAATACTTAAGGTTCATGTATTGTTACTAGGATGTTATATTTGAAGTTCTTTTTTTCAAAATCTTACAAAGCAGCAAAGTTCCATACCTTATTCCACATGTATACATGTAGAATTTCTCTTTTATATGAGATTAACAAGACAAGTTCAAGAATTAACGAAAAAAGATTAATAAAAATGTAGAGCAACGTCAATTGTGAGTATGTTGGTTGATTGGTCGGGCGCTAAGCATGGGGTATGGAATCTGAAAGGCGAGTGATGAAATACAGTTAAATATAATAATTGGTTGAAAAATTATGCTTTTTTTCTCAGATGAGGTAAAATTTTAAAAAGTTGTGACTAGTTTCATGCCAGGAAGTATAATTGGTTATAATCTTACTACTGAAACAACAGGAATCTTTAGCCTATCACAGCTGTGGGTGGTCATAACAGACTTTATATAATTGGTGATATTCAAATGATATGATGGTAATTCATGTAATGAGGTGTTATTACACTGATTACAGGGCAGTAATACAGCTATATCTCAACATTTTTGTGACCAGTTCAAATTAAATTACTAATAAAAAACATTAACTTTGTACAGAGGATGGCTACCAGTGTAGTTGGCGAGGGTGTGGCACTGAAGTCCAGGGTGAGAATTATGACTTTTACCGCCACGCCTACTTCCATTGTTTCCATGTGAAGATCAAGTGTATTGGTTCCCTGATAATAAACAAACTTGGAATGGACAACTGTCTTCTGGATACACACACCCTGAACTTAATTCCAGAACTTCCTGAACGCCTCCAGTGTGGCTGGTACATGTGTGAGGTAATTATAAAACAGACCAGATTTTCCTGTATGCATCAAGTATTAGGTAATTCAGAACTAGTACTGTATGTGAAGAAGAAACCTGATTTTCCACTCCAGTGATTTTTTCCTTAATCATAATGATATAATCTTTCAACATTAAGCTTTTGAGGGGACCACCGAGCTCTTTTGGTAGTATTGGGCTACTTAACCTCGTGTGAAGATCTAAGGTTTAATACTCTTTATATCAGTGTTTATGTTTCTCTCAAGATGCTGAGAGGCAGTCCCATCTGTGCTGTCGTAGTTGTGTCTGAGGCAAGACACTTTACAGGTATTGCTCTGGATGGCAATTAACGGGCCTCCTGTATGTTGTTCAGTGAGGAAACCTCTAGCTTATTTGCTAAGAGACCAACTCAAAATGACTCGGGACTGTTTATGAGTTGATAAACCCAGCAAACTAATGAATCTGCTGAGAAATTGTATATTTTCTTGGTGTGCAAAATTTGTTTCTCAAAAGAATGTTATTTTGTGGGCATTCAGACACAAGCATAAATAGTTCATGAGAAATCTTATCAATTATTTAAATGAAGGACGTCTGAATTATGGATTCGGTATCCCCGAAAGTCAACTATAATTCTTCCACCAAACTCCTGGATTTTAAATCACAAAGCTGCTTTCCTTTTGCTGTCAAACTTAAAAGTTCAGACACAACACCTGAAGACTTGTGGGATGCCTAAAATTCTGTAATATTAAGGAATTTGTGGGATGCCTGAGAGCTCTGTAACAGTAAAGAATTTGTGGGATGTTTGAAAGCTCTGTAATAGTGAAGACTTTGTGGGATGTTTGAGAGCTCTATAATAGTGAAGACTTTGTGGGATGCTAAAGAGCTCTGTAATAGTGAAGACTTTGTGGGATGCTAAAGAGCTCTGTAATAGTGAAGACTTTGTGGGATGCTTAAGAGCTCTGTAATAGTGAAGACTTAGTGAGATGCTTAAGAGCTCTGTAATAGTGTAGACTTTGTGGGATGCTTAAGAGCTCTGTAATAGTGAAGACTTTGTGGGATGCTAAAGAGCTCTGTAATAGTGATGACTTTATGGGATGCTTGAGAGCTCTGTAATAGTGAAGACTTTGTGGGATGCTTAAGAGCTCTGTAATAGTGAAGACTTTGTGGGATGCTAAAGAGCTCTGTAATAGTGAAGACTTTGTGGGATGCTAAAGAGCTCTGTAATAGTTACGACTTTGTGGGATGCTAAAGAGCTCTGTAATAGTGATGACTTTATGGGATGCTTGAGAGCTCTGTAATAGTGAAGACTTTGTGGGATGCTAAAGAGCTCTGTAATAGTGAAGACTTTGTGGGATGCTTTAGAGCTCTGTAATAGTGAAGACTTTGTGGGATGCTAAAGAGCTCTGTTATAGTGAAGACTTTGTGGGATGCTTAAGAGCTCTTTAATAGTTAGCCCTTTAGCTTTAGTTTAAAGAGTCTGCTGCAAGCAGGAAAAACAAAATCAAACTAAAACTTGTATTTTACAGGCAATAGTTGACAACCCAGAGATGTTTTATCGTCACGTTGACAATCATGCTGACAACTGCCAGGAACAAAAGAAATCAAAACGTAAAAACGCTGCGGGTGTCAGTGCTAAATGTGAATGGGAAGGTAAGGAAAACAACATGGCCGTTTAACTAGGTGCTCTATAGGAATCATGTTGTCTATATGTCCTTTTTTGTTTTTGCAAAATACTGTGAAGCTGTTTATTTTCGTAGGGATGATATTTCCACCATATGGCAGGGTATCAAAATTGTCACAAATATAGCTTCAGTGTAAAAATGGATATTTTGTAAATTCATTGGTGATTTAAAATCTTACTAAATAAATAAAACCTGCTGTCATATTTGCATATCACTAGCTGACTGCTGTTTCTAATTCTCCAATGGTATTTGTGACAAATAAATGTGTTGAGAATGGATTAGATGGTACATAATATAGGTTATTTGTTACGTGGTATTATAGAATACTTGCCTTTATAACATAAATTGTTATAAAATTTTCTTCAACGATACATGAACTATCACATATTTGAAATTCGATATTGAAAGTAAGATTTGTGAAAATCATAAATCCTTTTAAATTCAGATCAGGAAATTTTAATTACTTTAACAGAAAATTGTGACCTGAGAAATGAGAAGTAATATGGTGTTTCCATTTTTGTTAATCCAATACTTCCTCAAAGTAAGCAGGGGGACAAGCTGAATGTTACAATATATAGAAAATTGTTTTCGTACAATATATCCTGTTCTGTAAGGCAAGTTTTTACTATAGCATGTTCACAGAGAACTTGTTGTTGATTTTCAAGTTCAGAAGTCAAAGGTTAAGGTTTATATCTTTGCAGATAGTGATGGAAATATGCTTGAAAACATGTGTCATGAGATTTGTATTTTATTGGTAAATATCATCTTATTATGTGATGAAGCAAAACTGACTGAAATCAAATGAGAAGTCTCCTGCTTACAGGTCAAGGTTATCGGGTCAGAGGTCAAAATAAATTTTGAATTATATTTTAGTACCAGATATTTGGTGAAGACATTTTAAAGTAAAAATGTACTAAATCAAATGAGATATCATCAGAATACATGTAAAGGTCACAATTTAAAAGTCAGTGTCAAATTTTGAATATATTAATGGAAAGTTATCTATTGTGATCACATTAAGCAAAATTGACACGAATCTTATGAGAAGTTTCCTGATTATAGTTTGTCTAGGCTTTTGATATATGGCTTGGTTAGGAAATATACTTAGCTGTATTCATATATATTTAGAAAATAAATAATCCCTATCCCACAATTATTCATAAATATTTATAGATTTATATTAACCATGATCAAACTGCACATCTGCTCAACATGCGCACAGATGTATAATAGCAAGTTTTGTCCAGTTCCTATTGTACATAAATAATAACTTAATGTTTCACAGTATGTTATCTCATAACAGTAAATGATGACTCACTAACGGAAAGGAAACTATATCGCAAATTAGAGCTGGGCAATCACAGGCTTCCTGATACATTAGTTTTAATGACATTTAATTACTTCACATTTTAATGTATAATGTGATTAAATATACACTTAATACAGGGATCTCTCCGACATTTCAGTGCTCTAGATTACAGTAAAACACATTTATAACGAACGCGCTTACAACAAATTAATGGTTATAACGTAGTGTTTTTCATTCCCCGTCAATCGCCCCATCATTTATATGGTAAAAACAAAATATATAACAAATTTCACTGTATCGACACCCATGTCCTGGTAAGTTTCAATTATGTACTGGTAAGATTGACGAATAAAGTGAGTTGTTGTTATACATACCTGCATTCTATTGGTTTTTGAGGTTTGGGTTACTGAACTGATTTTATCGATACAAAATCTTTGCGTTCTGTTCTTGTTGTCGTCATTTTGAAAATGGCTTCATCATTGCCATCTCATAAGTGGAAGGCGTTAACAATTGGAACCAAATACCGAAATATTTTTGAAGTAGATAATGGGAAAAAGGCTAAAAAGGGTATTGCAGATAGTTTCGAAATTTCAGCAACAACACTGAGTACAATTTTTAAAAATCGAAATGAAATTTTGAAGCAATATTCGTCTGCGAATTCATGATGATGATAACATAACATAGACATTGATAAAGACTCCCTCTCCAGTGTAGCGGACACACAGGAATATCTGACAAAACTGCATCGTTTTATAGAATGTCAGTCAGATTTTTCTGAATCTGCATTCAATGCATTACATACCATTCTAAAGACCCTTAACAAGATCTCAGACAGTAACAGAAAGCAAACTGTCATTTGTGATTTTTTCAAGTAATTATTCGAGTTTTTCCGAAGCAATGTGAATTTGTGTTTATTTGGACATACTATACATGTGGTAAAATATAATCATGAAATAAGACCCCTTTATTTTTATTGTATGTACAATTCCTGTAACAAATTATGTGTGACAGTTTGCCAAAATTCTTTATATGTGTATAACAAACTAAATTTCTTGGTCCCTAGAGGTTCGTTATAAACATGTTTTACTGTACCCTATAGTTTGAAGTTATCATGGATGAAAATTCTCATGATTTGATTATAAAACAGTTAAATCATATTTACATGAGTGAAAATTTCATGATAGAGATGTTTTATCTTATACACACGTCTCATTCTTTCTGGCATTAAATTTTCACAATCACATTAATGTATGGTGATGTAGCGAAAATATCATACCTCTGAAAATAATTGATTATACAGTAATTTACCACTAAATAATAACACAATTTTTCGTTAAATCATTCTGAATTTTTACTTCAATATCCTTAAAAACTAAATTTTACTAATAGTTGTGTTTTTACATCTGCTGTGTAACAGGTTGCGACTTTGTTGCGGAGAATAAATGGCGGCTTAAGGAACACTTACGGAGCCACACTCAGGAGAAGGTGATCGCTTGCCCAACTTGTGGGGGTCTCTTCTCGGCCCGCTGTAAATTTATCGATCATGTTAAGCGCCAGGCAGAAACTGATGGTGAGTTTCTTTCGATTTTTATCTCAGGACAAGTAATATCACAATATTAAGTTACCTCCCTTTACATGTGTTGTGAAAACCTATCACAATATTAAGTTACCTCCCTTTACATGTGTTGTGAAAACCTATAACAATATTGAGTTACCTCCCTTTACATGTATTGTGAAAACCTATAACAATATTAAGTTACCTCCCTTTACATGTATTGTGAAAACCTATCACAATATTGAGTTACCTCCCTTTACATGTATTGTGAAAACCTATAACAATATTAAGTTACCTCCCTTTACATGTGTTGTGAAAACATATCACAATATTGAGTTACCTCCCTTTACAGATACTATGAACATCTCACTTTTTAACATTCACTTTGTCAAAACGTCATTTTCAGGTGGATTATCCATTAAAAAGTAGATATTTAGTCCCAGTTATGAAAACAAAAACCAAAAAATAGTGATCACACCAGTTTATGATGGATTAGTTGATTGACAGAAAAAAATTCAATAATCGTTGAAATCACCTAATTGGTATGCCGCTAATTTCCATGGGGAACAAATTTCCTGATTTTTGAACACAATTAGCTTACCCAAAAAAGGAATATCAGCAATAAGTTGGAAGAAATCGTAGATCATGTTGCTGTAACGGTTTCTGGTTCCAAGGGGTTTTAGTTTTTGGCTTCTTAACAAAGAGTGAAGTCATGATGGATATGTGTATAGAAAATAAAATTAGTAGTGAAAACTGTAGACATCATTTATTAGTTAAATCTAAACCAATCTTGCTTCAGGCTTTACATAAAAACTTTAAAAAGTGAACTATCAAACAGCTTTTCCATTGAGAGCCTGCTTCCAATGTTATTATTATAAGTATATCATTCGAAGGAGGGAATTTCAACAATTTATATACATTGTCTTTCAAACTTAGAATTTGTTTAGAAGTTTTTGAAGGAATTTGTTGACAACATGTGTGAACACAAACATGTTGGCACACATGACATTTGTATATGTGTAGACAGATATTTTCACAGGGAAGATATTTTCATTTTTGATGAGACATCATAATTTCTAAATTTTTAAGAAAATTTATCCTTTTTAAAGAAAATCACAAAAGTTTTGACCTGTGAAATGATCAGCTCTACAGTAAAATGTAGCTAGCTTCTTCTCACACTTCGTGCTGTTTAACTGATTAGTGTTAAGTTGTTGCTAATTGTGAAGAATTTTTTTATGAAAGTATGACAAAAGAACTGTATGCAGTGAAGAAAATTTATTGTTGCAAAAATAGGATCTTTTTCAAAGATGACAATTATGTTACAGCAAATATAGAAATATCACAGGCATTTTATCTGGCATATATTATAACTTTACTGAAAACAACCTAGTGAATCATCAAACATTTGTCAGTTGTCAAACATATGTCAGTTGTCAAACATATGTCATTGTCAAACATTTGTCAGTTGTCAAACATTTGTCAAACATTTGTCAGTTGTCAAACATATGTCAGTTGTCAAACATGTCATTGTCAAACATTTGTCAGTTGTCAAACATATGTCATTGTCAAACATTTGTCAGTTGTCAAACATTTGTCAGTTGTCAAACATTTTTCAGTTGTCAAACATGTCATTGTCAAACATTTGTCAGTTGTCAAACATTTGTCAGTTGTCAAAAATATGTCATTGTCAAACATTTGTCAGTTGTCAAACATTTGTCAGTTGTCAAACATATGTCATTGTCAAACATATGTCATTCTTAAACATATGTTAGTTGTCAAATTAAATACTTTAGTTATCCTTAGTAAAAAAAATATGATTTATTTAAATGTCAAATATGTCAATCATCAAATGTGTCGATTTTGAAATCTAATTAATTGTCAGATATGTCAATCATTAAACATAAATCAATTGTTAAAACCTTTATTTATTTCAAACAAGAAGTGAAATGTCAGATGTTACCTACCTATATTTCATTGTACTGAAACTGCCACAGACGTAAACACCTACCGTGTACCACCTATAAGCAGCCAGGATTTTAGTTACTGAATCAGACGTGACACGATATGAGGTCACTTGACTGACCAGCTGGGTTTTCCAGAGGTACTCTGGTTTCTTTCTACAATAAGACTCCTCTCATACTTTCACTGACTGTTTCTCAAGTTTGCATCCATATTTTCAATGGCTAGACATGTCTGTTGTGCTGATTAAACTACCACTTATTGTAACCTTTCAATAGTTAAAATAAGGAAAGTTTGTCTTCATCGTTGTCGACAAAGTTGGTTAGTCAACGACTGTACAGAAAGTGAATTTTATTATTGGTAACTTCATGTGAATATACATACCTTTTCAGTCAAAATATGAACAGACAGTCAAAATATGAACAGACAGTTTCAAAACTTAGCAACACTTTAGACACATAAATTTGTACAGAGATTAACTTTATTTGAGTTTGAAAAAAAAAAAAAATCTTGGGGTGTTGTATGATGGTATACTTGTTCATATCAGGAAGTAATTGTGAAAATATAGATCACAAGTTTGAAAATCCTTCACAAACTGGAGATTGCTAATCATATAAGTTACCGTAAAAACCCAAGTAATGTCCGCATCTGTGTAATGTCCGCACCCCTTTTTTGACAAAAAAATCTGGGGGAAAAACCCACCTTCCATGTAATCTCCGCAGGCAAAAAATGCAAATTGAAGCTGCAGATTTAGAAAGAAAATCATTGTAAATCTACAGTTGTCGGACAAAAGTATTGGCGTAACATCAATTTTCACTATACAATTCGTGCAGGGAAACTTTCCTAGCGACCTACATGTACGTGTCCATGAGAAAGGATGGATGTCGGAAAAAAAACCATGCAACGAGAAAATGGAAGGAATTAACAACGGAAGCTATCATAAATAATCATGTTTGGTTGAGGAAACATCATAGGAAAAACCATAGAACGATAATATCATGTCTGCTTGGCTTTTAAGAACACAATGCAAGGAGATATGATCTGGATTGTCGGAAGGAAAAAAGTGTCATTTCCTCTATAGATCTGTAATGTCCGCACCCCCATTTTTTTTATTAATTTTCGGTGGAAAAAAAATGCGGACATTACATGGGTTTTTACGGTACTTGCATTCAATCAGATGTTTAAACATTTTCTTACAACTACAGGTACTGTGATCAACACTCTTAAGAATAAAACTCGAAGGACAATTATTTCATTTTCAAAACATCCAGTTTTGAATTTAGAAATTTTGCGCTGGCCATTGCCAAATTTTCTCAAATAAACTGGAAACTTTACAGGATTGTGTCTTATAACAAAGGTTTGATAAAGTTTTTCTGCAGTATTAAATAAATAACATGATTTAAGGAATATTTCTCAAGCTGCATGAAAACATCTTGTTATGTAAATGATGTGTTACTATAATGTAAAGGGGTTTTATGTGTCAGTGTTCAGTCAACAGATTTAAAAAAGAAACATACAAAGTATTATATATACATACCTAAACCAGTTACTGTAGATTATGTATACTTTGAAATGTTTGTAGTTATTGTCATTTGTGATTGAAGCCTAATACATCATTCCAATGCTAAAAAACTTCAGTAAATACCACTTTTTGTTGTATTTTATTTTGTGGTTTGTCTTAAGCTCAAAGTCATGTTGTACAGAACTGTAAAAGTCGAAATTTTAGTGCAGTTTCAATATTAGTGATTTTCATTTATAACAATTATAGTGTAAAATTATCAAGTGGGCTAAAAATTCCATATGTCTAATCACTAAGCATCTGGAAAACAAAACACATTCACGAAGACAACTGATGCCAAGTTCTTCAATAACACTCGCTGACCATTATACAGGGATATTCAGAGCCATGAGAATTTCAGTCAACTCGTACGATTGAATAAGTATTATATTTTCGTGTGTGACTTTGTTTTGTGCTGGAATGAAGGAAGTAAATTGTTTTGCTTATGTTAAAAATAGACCAATATATGTTATTGCCTGGTTTTCCAGTAATAAGGAATAAATTACACACCCCAGTCATAACGATGAAGATATTTTGAGGATATGTTTGACGAGTTAAAAATCAACGAACTATGATACATAGTGTTGATATATCAACACAAGATGTTTAACAACAAGGAAATATTTAAGGTAGTTTCTGGTGGTTACATAATTTTCAAGAAAAAGGTGATGTGTTACATTCTAATTATAATTTTGAAGTAATGATGTCAACAATGTGAAAAATAAATATGAGGAAACTTTGATGACATCATAATGAATGTACAAAAAAATGATAATTTTATCAGTATTGGTAATTTAGTCGTTACTAATTATAACTTATTGATTTCTTCCTTTTCATACAGGTTGTTACCACAGTCCACTGCACACAGCCCCTTTCATACTCCTATATATTCATGCATACCATATTTCACCGCAAATAAGCCCCCTCCCGCAATAAGCCCCCCCCACCACTTTTTCAAATTTGCCAGGTGTAATTATTAAGGGCTTGTTTTTGTAGTGTTTACAGGTGTCCATTTTTTGGTTATTTAAACTGGTGATAATTAGCTAACAATCACAGCGACTGAGCGAGAGGGCCTCGCTCAAAACACGCTAAAACAACACAGTGTCGCTTTGACGTGTTGAGAAGACTTCGACAGTTGACAGTTTAAACAGTGATAAGGTGTGCAGTGGACTGTATTAGCCAGTGATTTATTACACCATTGTGAAATATGCAGTTAACTCAGTTGTCTTTCTAGACTGTTACTACTACAATGTGATAAAACAACTGCATAATGAGTTGTAATCCCAATGGTAAGCCTGTCAACCCCATTGAACTAATTTATCACACAGTACTAAAAATACATATCAGGAATTCCCCTACAAGATAAATGTACCATTCCACATGCTTCACAGCACAAAATTTACACTGCACCAAATTAAAGCTTTATACAATATCTGATTTTGCCAACCAGAGTTCATTTCCTCAAATTAAGTTTCAGATGAAGATTCAAGTACTAAATATGTATGTTTTACTAAAACAGGAAGTGTTGATTTTCCTATCTCCTATTCAAAAGAACTCGGTTCTAAAGAACAATAATCCTAGAACAGAAAAGAATAGTAGGCAACATGTATAAAAGGGAGATAACTCTAATCATGTTACATTATTTGATATTTTATCGCACACTGCAAAATCTAATTCTGTCATGAAATGTCAACCATGTCATGTATCATTTTGAGCAAGTCATAAATATTACGCTTTTATGTGGTAGTGATGAGGCAGTAAGTGAAAAAGTAAAAAATTGATTGATGCCTAAATTGTGAAGACAATAGTGACAGTTCAGAAAAAAACTCAGAAAGTTCAGAAATTCCCGAAACAAGTTCCTTACATAAGGTTGTTCACTTTGAGGTAATTTACAACCAGCAGACTTGACCCTTTTTCAATAGCAGTCACTAAATGGAAATAGTACAGTAATGGATTCAAAGCTTCAAGTTAACAATGATTTAAAAATCTACGATATCTTTAATATTAGAATGAAACTCTTTTGTAGTTACCACATGAAACAGGTTATAATCAATAATCGATCACTCGGTGGAGCCGATTCCCATCCCTAGATACATTGTATTCCTGGTTTGTTACAGAACCTCATTACTTAGTAATTATCATGTAGTTTGGTGATATGTAACAAACATATGTCTCGTTTCATATTGTCTTAGTTTCTTCATGTTAAAACAAAAATGTGAGTATGAAAAAAGAAAGTATTTCAATACTTCTCTGACCATAATCCTCATTTGCACTTCGAAATGCATTAAAGATAATTAAAACTGAGAGAATTTCTCATGTCTATTTTTGTGTTGACACTGTACCTCTTTGTCACACCAGTATTGTTTGAGTCTGTTGTTGGGTGAACTACTGCCGTTCCATCACTGAGTGAACATCAGTATATAGTGATATAGTATCTTCACAAATTCTACGTTACACAACATCAATAAAATTGGATGGGCACAATTGTAACACACGTGTCTTTGATTCCAGCGACCGGAGTTCAATTCCCCATTTGGATATTTTGGGTCACATGTGGGTTTTCCTTGGAAACTGCAGTTTTCTTCTTCAGTAAGATTCCAAACAAGGGTCCATTTGGGTAAAAAAGACTGATTTACAGAACTTTAAGGGACTGATACTTTCTTTGGCATTTGTTTGGAAATGAATGAAATTTTATAAGGTCAATTTCATCACATTTTACATCACAAGGTAGAGTTTGTCAGCAAATGTCTTCTGTGTAAGTCTGAAGAAGTCAGTACAACACTTAATCTATACAACTACAGCACCTTATCAATCAGAAATTTTCTTCACACGTTAGGATTTATCAGTAAAGTGCACAAAAATCAACCAGTTGGTGCACAAACAACAAAGAAAAAATATATCTTTTAACAAGTTTACATCTAGAAAACACTTTTGTTGTCAACAATATAAAAGCTGAGCAAGCATGTTACGTGATTGAATTTGGTTGAAAATCAAACCAATCTGTGAGAATAGACATGATAGGATCACCAATGAAGGCAGGTAAATGAAGATACAGAAATGGTAAGGAGCGTGCCAGGAATCCATTGTAGTAGTAGGACTTGGGGTACGTTGACAAGAGAGCATCTGTTATGTTGTTCAGGATCTCTGAAAAGTTGGCACTCAGCATCTCCTCTGAATCTGAAGTTGATAAAATATGTCAAAAATATATGAATTTATTTTTTTTTTTTTTTTTTTTGAAATCTGAAACTGATTGAATATTTCAGTACATGAAAGAATTTTCAAGATGGTCAAATGACAAAATCTGACCAAGCAATACTTTTTTTCTTTTCTTTTTTTTTGTTATTGAAAATACTGATATTTTTTCTTTTTTTCAACAGAAGATGTATAAGACATTTGACACACATAAGTGTTACTTTGTGTGTAAGATGTTTGACACACATAAGTGTATTACTGTGTGTGTAAGATGTTTGACACACATAAGTGTATTACTTTGTGTGTAAGATATTTGACACACATAAGTGTATTACTGTGTGTGTAAGATGTTTGACACACATAAGTGTATTACTGTGTGTGTAAGATGTTTGACACACATAAGTGTATTACTGTGTGTGTAAGATGTTTGACACACATAAGTGTATTACTTTGTGTGTAAGATGTTTGACACACATAAGTGTATTACTTTGTGTGTAAGATGTTTTACACACATAAGTGTATTACTGTGTGTGTAAGATATTTGACACACATAAGTGTATTACTTTGTGTGTAAGATGTTTGACACACATAAGTGTATTACCCTGTGTGTAAGATGTTTGACACACATAAGTGTATTACTTTGTGTGTAAGATGTTTGACACACATAAGTGTATTACTGTGTGTGTGTGTAAGATGTTTGAAGATGTTTGACACACATAAGTGTATTACTTTGTGTGTAAGATGTTTGACACACATAAGTGTATTACTTTGTGTGTAAGATGTTTGACACACATAAGTGTATTACTGTGTGTGTAAGATGTTTGACACACATAAGTGTATTACTGTGTGTGTACACACATAAGATGTGTGTTACACACATAAGTGTATTACTGTGTGTGTATTACACACATTTGTGTGTAAGATGTTTGTCACACATAAGTGTATTACTGTGTGTGTACGATGTTTGACACACATAAGTATATTACTTTGTGTGTAAGATGTTTGACACACATTGTGTCTGACATGTGTGTGTATATACACACATAAGATATATTTTTACACACATAAGAGTGTGTAAGATGTTTTACACACATAAGTGTATTGCCCATTGTGTCTGACATGTTCATATACAGATATATTGAGTTGAGGCCCACTGATAGAGACCAAGCTCAAAACCTTTTTAAAAACCAAAACAAAATATTAAATCCTATTGAACATTTTCATTGTTGAAGATTTGTAAATAAACTTCAACTAAGTCTCATATGCACTTCTTTTCTATGAGTTACTTTTGTCTTCTGTTAATTGTGTTTGTCATGTTCAAACTCAAAAATAAGATTTCTCTTGTCTAAGGTTTTAGCTCATTGTAAAATATAATTTTACTTCTTTTACACCTTAAATGTATCAAAGTCATCGGATGCCAGTATAGGTGATCTTAAAGGAGTGTATGTCTCAAGCCCTTAGATGAGTAACATATCAAATTATTTAATGAGTTTGATATATTCTATGTTACATTGGCACACATTTAAGATTCTGTTTATCATATAAACCTGTATTTCTTTCAAAAACAATAGAAAATTCTCAAACTAATTTCTCTATAAGGCAGACTTATTTTGCTGCAGACATGCCTTTCACTACCAAGGCAAATGTGACGTCATCAAGATGGGACTTATTTATGACGTCACAGTAGTGATATTACACACGTCTTTCAATATTTATGACAAGGGCCTATGACCTGACACAATAGGCCTGATCATATATATGATTCATGTGCTAAAATAAGTTTCAAATTACTTACTTTTCTGTTTAAATTTGATGTTAAAACACTCTCTGCCGTAGTCCCTCTGGACAGTGTCACTAGCCTTTGACCACCAGCGGTCAGCCACAGCAGCTTTGTCGTAGGCCAGTATGCCAGTCTTGTAGCCACTGGGTATGACAGTCGCAACTTTGATGCCCCACCGCTGTAATTCAAAACGCCACACCTCGGACATTGTAGCTAGGGCTGCTTTGGAGGCACAGTAAACACCCATTAGGGGGACAGGTACCAGACCTATAACATGGTATGTAAAGAGTTATGTCCAGTTATTCAGTTCTTGCTCGGAAAAGTCTGGGAAATCAGCCTCCTGCCTTGAAAATCTTTTGCAATTTGGCCATGAAAAATCCTTGACGTCATATCTTTAGTGTTCAGACAAAATACTAAAAGTTCTTTGTTTTACAAAAAATTATTCATAAGCACAAATCTGTAGAGTGTCATTATGAAATGATAAGCAAACTTTGTCTCTGTTAGTATAATTTGACTGGGTTGAGTGTCTTGTTGAGGTTTTAGGCAATATGCTTCAGTTTGGGGGCACTGTTAAATTTACTTCAGTTATGCACTTTTATATTGAGGCTTGCATGAACATATCGCTGCCTTCCACAAACATGTACACTCAACAAGTGCACTTATCTCCCATACATTGGGAGGCAGTCCTTCAATATTTAAAGGATAAGTTCTATAACAACAAAAAAAAGAAATGTCAAGCCCTTGAATTTTAAAAAAGACATTCCTTAAAATGTCAATTATGTAAATGAAAATGACTTTAGAATATTGTCTGTCAGTGATTTTTGTTGGCTTTTTCAAACAAGTCAGAAAATAAGAAAAGATTTCTCACTAGAACAATACAATCTAGCATTTTCTTGTTTATGTTGTGTACAACAACCATTAAGTTGTAATTGATGGAGAATTTGTGTTAATTGTCATGCTTAAGAAAAGTTATTTATCAGAAGGAATTTTACCTGCATTACTGGCAACGTTTACAAGACGACCGCGGTGCTGGCGTAGCAATGGAAGGAATGCCTTACAAACATTTACAGGACCAAAGTAGTTGATGGCCATGACTTTGTTCATGTCCTCCCAAGCCATTATTTCCACGTTGCCAATGAAACATATCCCTGCATTGTTGATAACACCCCAGAATTCTAGTTCTGAAAGAACAATTCATAGATTCTCACTTATATCTTAAGTCTTATTCAGTAACAGAAAAGAAGCAGTTATGTTTAAACTACCTTTTACTTCATATTCTTTTTCTTGTTCCTTGACCTCTGTTTTTTTTTTGTGAGTCACGGTTATACTTGACCCCTGACCTCTGTTTTGTGAGTCACTTATACTTGACCCATGGCCTCTGTTTTGTTAGTCACTTATACTTGACTTACTTGACCCCTGACCTCTGTTGTTTTGTGAGTCACTGTTATACTTTACTTACTTGACCCCTGACCTCTGTTGTTTTGTGAGTCACTGTTATACTTGACTTACTTGACCCTTGATCTGTTCACTGTCCATAGTTTTGGTACCAATTGTTATGCTTGACTTACCTTGACCCCTGACCTCAGTCGTGATGAGTTTTGCTGCTGCCTCCACCTGCTTGACATTGCTCACATCCATTTGAATAGTTTGAAGTCGATTGGAACAACTTTTTACGAGCTGTTTCTGTTCCAGGCTTTGATTGTTCAGGAAACTGGCAAATACATGGAATCCTTGAGCATCCAAATGTTGGGCCAAACTGAAGCCAATTCCCCGGTCACAACCTGTAGTTGTTATATCAGTATATTTAAACAGAATAAAGTCAGGAAAACTTTCAAGATGGCCACCAGCAGCCATTTAATTTTGATGTTTGAAGTTTGCAATAACTCAAGACTAGATAGGTCTTGGTGAGACTACTAGGACACAATCAGTACAAACCCTGTTTGTGCATGCATGCCACTTTTGGAAGTTGGTTGCATATTGTGACGTAGTCATTTTTGGGTTAAGATTTCTTTTCACAGTTTGTCAAAAACTACAGGAGAAATTTTCCTTCCACTCTTGTTCAGTTTGGGTTTGGGTAGCATTGAACATGTCACATTTTTAGGTATGCGGGACTGCCAGACTCCATTTTCATGGGATTTTGATATTTAAGATTTCCGATTTTTTTTTTATATTAACTGCGTAAAGAATCCCTAATTTCAACATGTTTTAGAATCAATTTATTTGAAGTCAGAAAACTACAAGAAGTTGTTACTATTTAATGTGACTGTTGTAACTATCCAATCATTGTTTGCTTTTCTTATGCTATTCCTACATAAGGACAGAGTAGATCTTTCTGAAATTTGGTATGAAGACTTAATGATCTTGGTCCCTAGTTTCGCAAACTCAAGTTTTGAATTGATCCCAAAAATGAAATGGCCACAAGCAGCCATTTTAGATTTTAAAAAATTCAGGTTTGTTATCATTATTTCTTTAGAAGTATTTGATGAAACTATCTTATATATGGAGATTCATCCTCAAAACTTGGTTCCTTACATTTTGCACCGATTAGGAAACATTGGCAGATACCTGGAAGTTGGCATCATAGAATACAACACGTTAGATTTTGTTAACGCTATTTGTTTAGAAGTATAACATGGATCGTCAGATGAAGGCTTATGATAGAATTTGTTAATGCTTTTCTAAGTACAACGACTGATTAATCTCATATTACATGTTAGGTCCCCAGGGTTTTCCATAAGAGCCGGTCGCCGGCCAATTTGACCGGCTACTTTGATCATTTGGCCGCCTACACCAATCCAGTTTCGTAATAATGTTCCGTACACGACTCCAAGTACAGAGCAGGCCATCCCCACCTCGCTGCGTTGCGGCTCGGGTCAGCTTGCTTTACCAGCCTCCTACTTTCACTACACAGCCTACTACTAAAAAAATTATGGAAAACCCTGGGTCCCCTTGGTTTTTCATTGTACATACTCAAATTTGGGACTAACAGAAAAAAAAATTGATGATGAAAGAACAGTTGAGAGAAAAGAGATCCAGCTTATAACCAATTGATAAAGATCATAGATTAATAGAAATTATAATCCCTCAAGGATCTCTTGTTTAAAATTTTATTTTCGAAAAAAAAAACAACTGAAAATTACAACCTTGCCAAACATGTAGGGTACTTATCAAGGTCATTAGTAGGTCAAAACAACAGGTAAACAGTAGATTAATATATTTGGTTGGAAGTTATCACATTTTGTGCGTGTATCAGCAAAAACAATAACACCTGTTAAAATAATTTATCAAATTTGTAACTTTATAAATGTTTGAATAATTATCAAATGAATGTAACTTTGTGAAGTAGTGTTTGAGATTTTGCCAACACTACCAGATTACAAATAGTATATCAATACTGAAGTTTGTATGTATGTTTATCTCAACATTTGTCGGTCAGTTACTGATATAGGTCTGTAATGGTCACAGATTTTGACTGGCTTGTTTGGGAGGTAAACAGTACATTAAGTGCACAGTTCTCATGTTTACTGTCAGATAAAGGAGAATGATTATATATCTATACTGTAAAAATAGGCTTCCATTTTTAATAATGATACATTTTCACACTCTACAATGCAGAAAGTAGTTCAGTTATGATAGGGGAATTGATAAAATAGTTTCCTGCCTAATAGATCAAGTAGAGATGTTATCTAATAAGCAAAAATTATATTTTGAGACTTCTGAAATAGGACCTCCCTGACATCTGACCACACTATCGCAGCTTCCCTCTTTGTTTAGCATTTTCTACGATATTTTTTGTTCTTTTTTAAAGCCTGGAGATAGGCTGATTTCGTCTTTATAAAAGTGTGTAACTTTCCCAAAATTACAAAAATTAAAACAATTAATCAGAAATATTATACCAGTTGTTCAGAAAATGTAACCATCTTCCAAATTTATACAACCACTGACAACTGTATTGTTTAGAAAGAAAAAGTTTAGAAAAGATTTCTTCTGTGCCCATCGCCTCATTCCTTTTTCATTATTTATAGCCTACAGACTGTTACTTCAGCCTTGACACTGGGCAAAATCCTCTGTGACACTTACCTGTAATAAGGACAGCTTTTCTAACTGGAGATAATTTCTTCCTGGGTAACCATCTCAGAGCCAACGTCAGATATGCAACGAGTAGCAAGCTTCCCCACAGGTTCGGTTGAAGGTAAAAAGTCAAAATTTGTAGGAAGGCGCAATTCAAAGTTACCATGACAACCGTTCGACTTGTCACATTGAGTTTCCCAAGAGAACACTGGATTAGTGTATAGAATCCAAATGCACCATAGATTATGATGTTAACTGTGTCAGCTGAGACAATTTCACTCGTATCCATACCTACCATTTTTGTTCTTTCTGATTCTCGGTTCATAAAAAGAACAGAATGAAGCACAGCCAATAGGCTGTACATCATTGATAAAAATTGTTCAAAAAAATAATTTAAAATTTTAGAATATCCAAAGTGAATATAAAGTAAATTCTTATGGTTATTTCAGAAGCATGTGTTCAGTTCTCCAATCTCCACTTGATTGAGACCTTTAAACTAGTTGCTTATCAGTCGAGGATTAAATCTGATGTTGATATTGGTCGCTAACGGTTGCCGGTATTGTAATCTCTGGAGAGTTTTGCGCACCTGGTCATGCTCTGCTCGTAGCCTTCGATGCCAGCGATGTCCTTTATAAATGATAATTTGATCTGTTAATAAAAAAATTTATTCAGAAATGATAATTGTTTTCCTTTTTACCCCCCTCAATTATGTTTTAACATTTTTCAAGTCATGTGATTGGGGTGTTGGTGCTTTTATATGTGATGATCATTCTAGAAAATTGGGGCACTTTGGTGTGTAGGGTTGGGTTTGAACAGAAGAACTTTATAGTATATTAAATCATCAATTGTGCATTTTCAGACAGGAAATGGAGTGATCATGAAGTCTCAATCACTATGCATTAAGTATAGAATATATCAGTCATTTTATTGAGCAAATTCAATGGGGGGAAAAAAGGAAAGAAATCTCCATTAACAGGCATTTAAGTATGAAATGGATATCAAAACATTTATTACTGACAGAAATAGTTTCAAGAGGAAGTATAAAATATCTTAATACATCTGCTGTTGATGAAAACATCACTGAAAGAAGAAGTTTCAAATACTATATGTCCATTTCATGGAAAAAAAAAATACTTGTGGAAAGAATTTACTGACTGTAGCAATAAAATGATGAATCCATTTAATTTTTTAAAAAAATTGAAAAAAAGACATTGATATATTTAAAACCAGTGTCTCCAATCTGTTGCTATGGTATAGATTGTCCTCAGTTTGATTCCATTTTCAGGTGACAAATGGAACTTTGTCCGTTTATTCTACAACATTTTAAACAGTTTTTCATTTCTGTCGAAACTTAATATTTCATCACGCTGTAGCCTTACCAAAATCAATAAGTGTTTTGTCTTATGATCAGGCCTCAGTCGCCTGTCCTTAACTTTAACCCGTTATTCTAACTTATCAGTTTCAGGCGCAAGATTTTTCTCGTATTTCCCTAGTGATGTACATATGGCTGACGTGTATCATGTCGGATGTTGACAATGGAAGCTTGTTATCGCTGTTTCTTTAAAGTACTGATAAGCTCCCCTTGGTCTCTTGTGGTGCGGAATCAGTTTTTGTAGCCAATTGGAATAACAAAGTGGCTGACAGATGGTCATCTTTCATTCTGACAATTCAAGTTTGTAATGTGCTGTTTCATGATATACAAGATGGGTCTGTCTCAAATTTCTTGAGTAGGTTCCCCATGGTCCCTGAAGGTGCTTGTTCAATTTTGATATCATTTAGAACATATGTGATTGGTGACAGATATCCATCTCAGACTTCGACAACTGTTTATGTTGGTAAATTCCATTGTCTTAAGAATCTGGTTACGCAATGTCCATTTCTGGGACTTATCCGAAAAACAAAATGGACGAACATTTTTCTTTGTTTATTGATGTTAGCTTGCCTGCTTGATTCTCTGTTAGTACAATATTTAAAGAAAGACAAATAAGGAGAAGAAGAGAAAAGATCGAGTTTATAAGGAACTTGTAAAGATCTTACAGTCCTTTTCAGATCTCTTGTCTGTGTATATAAAGTGACAGTTCTAAAAGGTGTGTAATTAAACAGTGTAGGAAAATTATTTCAAATGTTTACATAATGTTTAGAAAATCCTGATATAGATGGATTTGAAAACATTTAAAATGTAATTATTTAATCATTTTTCAGTTGATAAAAATCAATTTATCTATGGGTTATATCTAGACTAATATTTACCATTATATATACAGTAAATGTGGAAATTTATGCGGGGGGGATATTTACGCTCAATATGGGGAAATCATTTGGCGGCATAAATTTCAACCACACCTGTAAATTTGTGAAATATTATGTACATATCAAAAATATACATTAGTTAAGCGAAGATTCATTAATCACAAAAATAACTCCCACGTATAAGTTTACCACTTGGAATCGTGAAATTAATACCTCACGGAAAATGACCATATTTACAGTATGTCATTCCTAAACAATTTATTGCACTAGATCAAAGAAAGGAGACAGCACTCATACTGTACCTGTATAAAAATTCTTGCTGTAAGGAATTCCTTTTTCAGTATTTTCACTTTGTATAAAGAATTGTTAGATGAAGACAAAATGTTCCTTTCACAAGATCTCAATCAGGATTTGATCCATGGATGCTTTCACTTTGTTTTGCGATTGTTTTTCATATCTTCGATGTGTCCTGTATGGTATCCTGTGAAGTTGGTTTAGTGACTGAATTCTCAATCAGGATTTAACAATCAAAGCTCCACCCATTTTTTCCAATGTTTTTTCTATTTTCTTCTTTTTTTTTAAATCCTGTATCCTTTGAAGTTTCGGTAGACTTGCCTTATAGTGTATATTTTTCCTTGTTCTCAGGTGAAAACCCAACGAGTTGATAGTAAGTAATCACAGGTAAATCTGAATGTGTGGACATCACACCTCTCTCTCTTCTCTTTATATTAATGCATTATCATGCAGTTATGCTGACACATATATACCACTTGAAAGGGCAGGACGTTTGATTTTGTATTGATGATGAATCTGAGGTGATGTAATGCTTCTCATACAGGAGACACTTGACGGCCAGGCCGTAGGTGGGCGACTGAAGGACTTGAAGGTTTAGCCAAATATAGCCAGACAGATAAAAGTGTGTATATATATACATAGATGTAACAAAGTTTGAATACATGATGCTGTTAGACCTAAAAAAAAAAATGTCTATATACGCCTCTCATGTAAATATAATTTACAGTTATAGTTATATTTAGTTTTTTTCAAATAAGTTACCATAGTGACATACAAAAAATGTGTAATATTTTCATAGATTTATATGGTGATAACTGTATCAGTATTGAATTTCATGTCACCTTATAGTACAGTGACATCAGCAGGAAAAGTACATCAGCTCTCCTGATATAACTGTTACAGGAAAAACAACTACAGTATCAAATTTTATTACCGTTTGGCTGTTTTCAGATTAATTTCAAAGAAGACTTGAGTCAGCATTCCTGGTCAGATTTACTACCATCTTAGTACAGTTTTTACTTGTTATGCTTCAGTACCTAAAGCTCTGCCCCAACCCCATGAAATAGTTCAGATAGATGCGTTTGTGCTGCTCCAGGTCGTCATTCTAACAATATTTGGTTTCCGCCAAATTACTCTCGGGTCTCTGACACCCCATTTTGGGAATTGGGAAAAATAGTGGCGTTTTCCTTAGAATTGGGTAAACTTGGGGTCTAAATTGGGTAAAAAAGATACTATTTTGCATTGGGAATGGGGCCGAATATCGACCCCAAATCTGGCAGATCGAGAGCCCTGACTCCTTTTTTTTTTTTTTTCTTAAATATTTATAGTGCATCTATAGGTGTAAATTATCCTGGTTAACTGTGAAAAATGGACTCAACAACTCCTTAATAAAACAACCCAACAGCTTCTAGTTTCTTATGTGAATGGAATTTAATGTGTTTTCGTATGATTTCATTATACACTGTCATGAATACATCTAGATCAATTAAATAAAGGATCAAGGTTTGAAAAAAAAAATTCTCAAACCAATTAAGTTTTGTCAACAGTTATTCCGCACATTTTTCTGCACATATGACCTTCACTTCTTGGACCAAACTTTCAGCAGGTTTAAAAACTCAAATATTTACACAATGTTTGACTAAGGGAGACCACTTGAACATACAGATGCAGGTTGCCTCCCCTGATCCACCATTGCTAAATTTTTCCAATCACTACTCGAGTTCTTGTTCCTTATAGTCACAATCGAGTCACAATCGGGTCACAGACTATTATATTTGACCTCAAGATAAAACCTTATTTATATCAAGATTACAATGTACATATAAATTGTTTATGCGCAACAAATTCTTCAAAATGTGTTACATAAGCCTTACAAATGACATCTGTGAGAGAAACATCAACGAAAATTTAATGTAATTGTCAAATGATTGCAGAACTTATATAACAAGTTGCAAAACGTCATTAATAAATTATGAAATTGTTTTCAAAACACGGAAATCGCCTGAATTTTTGCTGCAAAAGCATTTCTCTTGCAACAAGTGTAAACACTTATTTCATTCGCAAAAATTAAATAACCCAACAGTTTGAATTCAGAATTTGTCAATACTAAGTCACATAACAGATGTATACATGTGACTTTTAACTCACATTCTTCAGTGTACATCAGGTGAGGTAACAGTATTGTTACAGCAGTACTGTTATTGTACTGGAGTTGTGTAGGTGTGTACATCAGGTTAGATAACAGTATTGTTACAGCAGTACTGTTATTGTACTGGTGTAGTGTAGGTGTGTACATCAGGTTAGGTAACAGTATTGTTACAGCAGTACTGTTATTGTACTGGAGTAGTAGTGGTGTGTACATCAGGTTAGGTAACAGTATTGTTACAGCAGTACTGTTATTGTACTGGAGTAGATGTGTGTACATCAGGTTAGGTAACAGTATTGTTACAGCAGTACTGTTATTGTACTGGAGTAGTGTAGGTGTGTACATCAGGTTAGATAACAGTATTGTTACAGCAGTACTGTTATTGTACTGGAGTAGATGTGTGTACATCAGGTTAGGTAACAGTATTGTTACAGCAGTACTGTTATTGTACTGGTGTAGTGTAGGTGTGTACATCAGGTTAGATAACAGTATTGTTACAGCAGTACTGTTAGTGTACTGGAGTAGTGTAGGTGTGTACATCAGGTTAGATAACAGTATTGTTACAGCAGTACTGTTATTGTACTGGAGTAGTGTAGGTGTGTACATCAGGTTAGATAACAGTATTGTTACAGCAGTACTGTTATTGTACTGGTGTAGTGTAGGTGTGTACATCAGGTTAGGTAACAGTATTGTTACAGCAGTACTGTTATTGTACTGGAGTAGTGTAGGTGTGTACATCAGGTTAGATAACAGTATTGTTACAGCAGTACTGTTATTGTACTGGTGTAGTGTAGGTGTGTACATCAGGTTAGGTAACAGTATTGTTACAGCAGTACTGTTATTGTACTGGTGTAGTGTAGGTGTGTACATCAGGTTAGGTAACAGTATTGTTACAGCAGTACTGTTATTGTACTGGTGTAGTGTAGGTGTGTACATCAGGTTAAATTACAGTATTGTTACAGCAGTACTGTTATTGTACTGGTGTAGTGTAGGTGTGTACATCAGGTTAGATAACAGTATTGTTACAGCAGTACTGTTATTGTACTGGTGTAGTGTAGGTGTGTACATCAGGTTAGATAACAGTATTGTTACAGCAGTACTGTTATTGTACTGGAGTAGTGTAGGTGTGTACATCAGGTTAGGTAACAGTATTGTTACAGCAGTACTGTTATTGTACTGGTGTAGTAGTGGTGTCTACATCAGGTTAGGTAACAGTATTGTTACAGCAGTACTGTTATTGTACTGGTGTAGTGTAGGTGTGTACATCAGGTTAGATAACAGTATTGTTACAGCAGTACTGTTATTGTACTGGTGTAGTGTAGGTGTGTACATCAGGTTAGGTAAAAGTATTGTTACAGCAGTACTGTTATTGTACTGGTGTAGTGTAGGTGTGTACATCAGGTTAGATAACAGTATTGTTACAGCAGTACTGTTATTGTACTGGTGTAGTGTAGGTGTGTACATCAGGTTAGGTAACAGTATTGTTACAGCAGTACTGTTAGTGTACTGGAGTAGTGTAGGTGTGTACATCACGTTAGGTAACAGTATTGTTACAGCAGTACTGTTATTGTACTGGTGTAGTGTAGGTGTGTACATCAGGTTAGGTAACAGTATTGTTACAGCAGTACTGTTATTGTACTGGTGTAGTGTAGGTGTCTACATCAGGTTAGGTAACAGTATTGTTACAGCAGTACTGTTATTGTACTGGAGTAGTGTAGGTGTGTACATCAGGTTAGATAACAGTATTGTTACAGCAGTACTGTTATTGTACTGGTGTAGTGTAGGTGTGTACATCAGGTTAGGTAACAGTATTGTTACAGCAGTACTGTTATTGTACTGGAGTAGTGTAGGTGTGTACATCAGGTTAGGTAACAGTATTGTTACAGCAGTACTGTTATTGTACTGGTGTAGTGTAGGTGTGTACATCACGTTAGATAACAGTATTGTTACAGCAGTACTGTTATTGTAC